AATATTGTTAGATTTGAGAAAAACTGTTGGTTTGTTCCTTTGAATCAAAGATAGAGTTTAAAAAAAAACTGTTTTTTTCACACTTGTTAGCTTCGTAAGAAAGTTTAGGATAATACGCACTATTTTTTCGCAGATCGAGGACTACACCAATCTTGGGGGTATCAACTTTTAATCAATTTCGTTAATTCAAAATAAAGGAAATTACGGTACGGAAAGAGTACATCGCTTCAAAAATGACTCAATATTTTTATCTTGAGTTGTTAAAAAATAAAGAAGAGTAAATTTTCAAAAAATTTTCAAAAATTAAAAAAAAACGTTTTTTTTTCAAAAATTATTTTTTTTTCAAATTCAATGAGCAAAAAATGCCCAATTGTGAAAGAATTGAAAAAAAATCAAATTTTTCATTTTTACGAACGTTACAGGGTGCTCAGAAATGTAAATTTTGCTCCTTTAAATTTTTCTGAAATTTTGATTAAGCGGTCCGGAAAAACCGTTCGATAGATCGATCTGCCCATTTACGGAGCTTTTGGGGGTACATCGAGGTGTAAAAATTCGTACAAGCATTAGACTCTCCATCGATATTAGCAAAGATGCGGTCGACTTAGCAAAACAAGTCAAAAAGTCACTTTTTTTCACTTTTTTCAAGTTAATGTCGAGGATGAAAGAAAATTTTTTTCTTCCAAGAACGCTACATAGCCTTGTAGGAAATTTATTCGAGATTTCGAAACTGCCCGTCAATTTTCTGTCTGATCATTAGTTGCTGAGATATCGATGGTTAAAGCCAAAAGGATGCTTTTGTATTCGTAGTCGAATATCTCCGGGTCAAATTAACGTAGAGAAAAATAAAAAAAAGAAATTAAAGCTGAATGAACAGGCTATCAAGTCCATATCATGATTTTTGTGTAAAAAATTTTTCCAAGCCCGTGGACCGAGAAAAAAAACGCAAAAAATTGAAAAAAATTTTTTAGTCTTATTTCTTACAATTTCGCGATGACTATCGCTCCTAAAAATTTTGAGCTAAGAAATCTGGAAACTAGACATTCGGTACTTTAAAATGCTTTTTTTAAAACCTTGATACGATCATTTTTAACTGAGATACAGCATTCTGAAAAATCACTAATAATTCGAAAAATTTTTTTGCTCTCTTAATTTTTTGCAGAAGTATATTTGGACGAATAGAAGCGGAGTTATTGTTATTGTTTTGTTTTAAACTTGGTAAAACTTTTATTAACATTTTGTTCTATCTTTCGAGAGAAAGGCTGGGGAAAGCCCCTAATGTCTGATCAATATGATGAATTAGTTTGAAATTTCTAACGAAAAGTGTTGTTTATTTATTGGTGCTATTTATTCAAGTTTAGGTTGTTCCACGTTTTCTTAAAAAAGTGAAATAGCTGGATAAAACTTTTTATAGGTTAATTTGAAGAGCATGAAAATAGCTAAATTTTGACGCTAAAAAGGGTTCGATATCTTTTTTGTTATCAAGTTATTCGCAAATTAGTGAGTAAAAAATAAGTAATAATAATGAATTGAGGAACACGACGCTAATGAAAAGACATTTAATTACCGAAACAAAATCCCTATATTTAAACAGAACCTACCTAAGCACGCAGCGAAGGTTAAATTCCTGTATTGAAAATAATGGTATGTATTTCGAGCATTTATAAACATCTTTACTTTTGTTAAAATTTAATTGTTCTTTCGTTACATAATATCAATATCTGTTTGTTATTGTTTTTGTTATTATTTTCAAGATTGTTATTCACTCACTCATTTGCGTGGGTTTAGGTAGGTTCTTTTATAAACGCATTTTGTTTTGGTAATTAAATGTCTTTTCGTTAGTCTCGTGTTCCTCAATTCACTATCACTATTTATTTTTTACTCACTAATTTGCGAATAACTTGATAACAAAAAAGATATCGAACCCTTTTTGGCGACAAAATGTAGCCATTTTTATGCTCTTCAAACTAACCTATAAAAAGTTTTATCCAGCTACTTCAATTTTTTAAGAAAATGTGAAACAACTTAAACTTGGATAAATAGCACCAATAAATAAACAATACTTTCGTTAGAAATTTTAAACTTATGCTATATTCATCAATTTTTTGTGATAAATTCATTTATGTAAAGAAAACTATAACATTGCATTTAAAATTTTTGAGAAAAATCCATAAAACGGCATTCTTTTGAAATAACGCCATCTATAGGTTTCCACATTGAGGTAAATGACATTACGCATTCACCACGAGATAAAGCTTGAAAAGACCTTTCCAACGAGGTATAACACTATGGGCTTTTGATGAGCCAATCCTTAAAAAAATGTATTTTTCTGATCAGACAATAGGGGCTTCCCCCACCCTTTATGTCGAAAGATAGAACAAAATGTCAATTAAAAAGTTATGCGCAATGAATCCGGCTATTCATATTTGTACTATTTAACGTACCTGAATAGGAAACATTTCTGAAAAGAATTCAACTGTTTTAGTATGTAAATTACGCCCCCTAGCGGCCGAGCTACGAACTTCGAAACTATTTCCAGCGATTTCTCTTGGTTGATTTATTGATCAACATTTTTTCCCGAAGTTCTAGGGCAGGGGTCGGCAAGTAATTTTAGGTGGGGTCCGGACACTTTTGAAATTTTTTAACGAGGTCCAGAAAAAAATTCATATTTCTTACTAATTTTTTATTTTCATTTGCATCAAGAACTCAAATCAGTCACAATTGTAAAATACTAGAAAAAATGATAAGGGTGGCACAATTAATATTTTCAAAAAATTTTTGGCGGTCCAGAATTTTACCTTCCGCGGTCCGGATCTGGACCGCGGTCCGCCAGTTGCCGACCCTTGTTCTAGGGCATATAATTTCCCTACCTACCTCGTCGATCTTAGTGGGACACCCTGTATATAGTTATAAAAAGTCATACTTTTAAAAAGTCTAAATAAAATAAAAAGTCTTTTTACAGATGTGTCTTACAATGTTTTATCTTTAATAGAGCTAATTAGAGGTCAATTAACTTTTCGTGTAGATTAGTATTTGTAGAATTACATATATCGATTTTTTTTAAATGTCATTTCACGCAATAAAGCCTAAACTAAAAACTTTGATTGCACTGAAAATTATGTAAAAAAACTGTCTTGGATAAAATATAAATTAGTACTTGCCATAGTTTTTCTATTTATTATCCTTTATTAATTACTAATACATTTACTTTTTTCAGATTGCTGCTTCTCCACAGAACAGTGAAGATTATCCTAGTGTTTGTAGCATACTATACTGTATGTTTGCTGTGGTCTAAGATGTATAGCTTAATTTTTTAATAAAATTATCCCTTTTTAAAGTGAGTTTTATATTACAACTACATTGTCGAAACACAAAAATGTCATTTAAATTGACATAAAGGTAATTAGATGAATTTCAAATAATTTTAGTAGAGACTTCATGCTTAGGCAACAAACATTGCATGGCTGGTACTGTCATTAAAAAAATCCCTAAATATTAGCGTCAGCAGTATTAATGATTCATCAAGTAGCTGGCAATCATTTATGAAAGCTCTGTATATTCATATACATGGTAGTAAATTCTTGTTTACTGAATAAAACAAATAAAAGAAATCCAAATAAAAAAAATCCACTAGAGTGATTTCTAAATTAATATTCCCTCGGTTACGACGCTTAGATAGAAAGAAATGTTTGTTAAATTTAAAATTTTCCAAATATGCGGGATGACCCTTTTCATTATTTCGTTATTAATAATAGTGATAATGACGTCTACCAAAGTACAACAAAATACAAATAGTTCAGAAAAGATGGAACTACAGTTTGTTTCCAGTCGATTATTAAAATTTCGCGCTTCAATTTTTTTATAAAAAATTTTCAATCATGAAAACTCACATTTTGAGAACACCTTTTATATTAATGTTGCAACTGAGCAAAAAATAATTATTACAAAAACGTCAAAATCTGAATACACGTTTGTGAGAAATGTAACTTAATATTGGAGCCACAGACCATTGGAGCTCATTTTAGTGGTGCATTAATTTTGATATAAATTTAATCTCTACAAGGTGTCACCTATCAACATATTCAAATTTTGGCAGCATAAATTAGCAGCATAATCTGTGACAATGGGATGTTTGCATAAAAGAGTGTAATGTTTTGTCTGAATACTTTACGATGAAAGTTGACACCTACAAACTTTACAAGCAATTTCGCTAGCAACTCCAAATACATTTTTACTTGACCTTGTGACGTATTAGAATGTGGATATGGTATATATTTATTTATACAATGATAATGGATATATTATTATAGAAAACTAAACTAAATAAGGGGATAATATAATGTGAGATTTTAGTGGAATTTGCTGTCAACAGATGGTGCAGTTAAATCATATTCTAGCACGTTGCGACTGTCAATTTTTTGCCACAATATATAATTTTATAATATGTTAAAAGGAGACAAAACATCCCATTAAAATCTACCACACTAGGTCCATCTCTCACCCTCACCCACACTCAAAATACATAGATATCCAAATAACTAAATCGTGTAGCTATTTACTACATATTTGGGATGCTGGACGGGGCTTTAATCGGCAGAGTAGTTGTTTCCCATAATAAGTTAAAAACTTTCATGGCTTTTTAATAACGATATTTCAATACATGCTGTCCCCTTTGCCCCTTTGTCTTAAAAAAAAAATGTATTAACATGGTGGGGGCCCCTAGTTGGTGGGGGCCTGTAGGCTGCAACCTACACCAGCCTATAAGTAAATCAGGCACTGAATTGTCAAGATTTGAAAACGATACGGAACACCTTGTACAATAATTGTTTCCCGATAAATACATAGATCTTGGATGCGTCCAAGTTCAACGAGTGCAAGAGCACTGATTTACTACTTTGACTGACGAGCAATGTTGCCCTCGCGTTGATTCTTGCCACGGTTTTCTCTTTAAACGTAGGCACCTTAAGAACTCAGAGTACTTTTACTTGTCCACTTCCTGCAGTCGCAAGAACTGTTGCGTTGACTGGTCAGGACAAACATAATGAAGTAGTTACATACCTTCGAAAGCAGAACGATGTAATTGCCAGTAAAAGTGCCAACTAACGATGAAGATAGCGCTGAACAGATTTTCTTGTGGTGCAGTATAGATAACTGCGTCTATCGAAATGAAAACGTAAGTAACTGTTTTTTTTTTAAATTTGAGGTCTGTGATAATATACATATTTCAAAAAGCTTAATTGATTGTTCAATTCGAAGTTATAGTGTTTTTTTACGTTTTTCAATTGGTTCAAAATAAAATCTAATTGTTATGAATTAATTTGGGTAAGAAAACAAAACGAAGGACGTTAGTTAATCCGAATTTCCATACGTTTCAAAATATTACTACGTACCTACTTCCAGTAGAAGTTGATGAAATTATACATTGTGAATCACGCTTTCACTTTACTGAGTTTAATCGCTAACGAAAAAAAATTGACGACAACAAAAAGACTGTTTGCATGTTGCTCCAGGTCAAATCTCTGTATCAATGTTTTTATAGACAATGTTAATCAACCATATCGAATGCGTCGCCGAAAATTATTTTTACGGGGTGTATTAAAATCAAATCTCATATTTAGCCGTTTCTTTCGTCCTGTGACGTACGCAAGGGATTTTGTTGAGTTTATAAGTACTGAGGTCGCAAAGCGACATTTTTTAATTATAACTGGTTGGTTTAATTTATACAAGTCCTGTACAATATAAAAAATTAAAAAATAAGGTTTAAGAACCTTTAAACCTTTTAGCAAGATCAGTGTCAAATACATTTGTAACGGTTTTTTATCGGCAAACAGGCATTCTAAATAGGAAAATTAACGAAGAACGAGATCAACATCAACCTTCAGGTTTCAGGTTCAGAACTTCAGACTAGCACCCCAGATTAATGTTTAAATTAATCTGTGCTAGCACGGACCAGTCAGAGCACAATGTGAAACATCGACTTTCAAAAACTGTCCAACGCAAAACAGTAGAAAAATATATATACAGGGTGTCCCCAGTTCTGGCTGCCTATACCTGAAATGGATACAAAATTTCAATTGTCAAAAAAAATCATTCTTCATAAAAATTTTTGCTTGTCCAGAAACCCTTGGCAAGATAGTCATTTGTTCAATTTAATGTACAGGGTGTTCAGAAATTTGGAAAAGGTAAAAACAGTGAAGAATAAAGTACCTTAAATCTTTACGCTACGTGAAAAAGTAATGGGGAAAAGTTGCTTGGAATAAAATTTTATGTTTAAATATGAAAGCATGGCCTTCTAGTTAATACTCAACATTCTGGGATATTCTAGGACTCTATTTATTTTTTAATACTTTCGGAGAAGCCATTCTATTTAAAAAATATTGCTTTATTGAAAAACAGATACACATGTTTGCATGTTAATAATTCATTTTTTATACAGGGGGATTAAAAACCTCAAAAACATTAATCCAACATTTATTTTGAGAACACAGCAGAATCAGTATGTACGCGCCATTACAAAACTATTCTACTTGAAGTCCGCCAAGTTCAACACACCTCCAATCATTTTAAGAAAACTAATTCGAAAATTTGATTTAACTGGTGATGTAAAAAACGTAAAAAGGTCAAAAAAGAGACACGATCACGATGATGCAGCCATAATACTAGTTTTGATTTCGAAAAGAAAACCCGAGACTGTCACTAAGGAAGATATCTAATAATCGATGTTAGCAAAACACATATTCAGAGGATTTTCGTAGAAAATAAGTTTAAGGCTTTCAAACCAAAAGTAATTCACACTCTAGAAGTTGGTGATGATGCACATCCTTTGGAGTTCTGTTTAGAGATAGGAGAAAGGATTGTGGTAAATAACTACAGAGAAGCGATACCTACTAGTGATGGGAGATTTCGAGTGAAAAATCGAGTGGTACTCGATTATTGAGATCACTCGAGATATCTCGAGATGTTTACTCCCACCACTCGAGTGATTATTACCCTACGGTTGCACCCCAAAATGTTAGTGCATACTGCAAATAGTCACTGATTGCGTAACCTTTTTTTTAGAATAAAACGAAAAAGTGGTTAGGTTTTGAAGTGCGTGAGCTTTTTTTTTTTTGCTACGCTTATAAGTAATATATGACTAATACAAACATATTTGTGCGCCGCTGGGATGAAAACGACCAATATCTCGTATCTCGAGTGATCACTCGATTATTAGAAGTACTCGATTACCGATAACTCGATTATCAAAATTGGTCGATTATGCCCATCACTAC